GTGAGCATCGGCCAGTCTTTCCGGTGGATAGTAAATTCTAGATATGAGATGATCGAATATTTGCACGGCTCCTTTAAGACACGCCGTTTGTAGAGCATCATCGTTGCATCCGCTTCTCGCGTGTGGATCCGCTCCGTGGTCTAGAAGGACTTTTGACGTTTCAAAACGATATTCCTAACATTAAATAAATAAATAAATAAATGAACGAACGAACGAACTTGAGATTATTGGCAAAAATAAAAATTTATTATCAAATAAAACAAACTCATTGGCGTAGTTTAAATAATAAATATTAATTGGCTCGCTATAAATATAAAAAATTTAACATGGGAAATTAAAGAAAAAAAAAATTTTTTTTTCTTTTTTTTTTCTCTTCATATAAAAATAAAACGTGAATCATTAAATAATAATGATGATGATGAATCGTTAAATATCTTCTTCTATTAATACCGTGTGAGGGAGGTTTTGAACAAAAAAAAAAAAAGTTGTTCCCGTTTTGGATTTGTTTGGCAATACGAAAATAAATCGATGAGTAAAAATAGAATTGGAAACGTTAAAAAAAAAAATTTTTTTTAATAAATACTAACAATAATTAGTCACTGAATTTTCTAAAAAAAAACAAGATTCCTATTTTACAATGGTATGCGTTTAATAATTAATGTTGAAAAAAATTCAAACGACAACAACTCCTCGAAACTCAAATACTTACTTGTATGGCATAATGTAGAGCAGTTTTATTTTGAATATCTTTCGCATTGACAGCAGCACCATGTTGTAAAAGATACAAACATAATTGAACACTTTGAACTGAATTAATAAGACATGTTCCTCCATTGTAATTTCCTCTCTGTATATCTGCACCATTTTCAACTAGATAGCTAACTATGTCAAGGTGTGTCATAAAACAAGCGCTTCTAACAGGAGTTGAACCTAAAAAAATTTCATTCAAATCATCAGGTAATAAAATAAAATTTTTTTAGCAAAAAGCCAAAAGTATTATGTAATTGGTGCTTTCACCAAAGTAATAAAAATTTCATTTTTTTTTAAACAAAACAAAACCAAAATTTTTTTCCCCACAAATTTATCCCGTCCCATCCTGTCCTGCATTTTACAATTAAAAATTTACCTTAATTTGACATTTAATTCATACATTTATCATTATTATTATTATTTATGTTTATCTGTGGACTGTAAATAAGACAAACATGAGCATACATAAAATATTTTTGTTAATCGAATGTTAATAAAACAAACATACTTTTACAGATAGACAAACATGTATATATATATGTCAGTTTATGTATTTAAACATGTAAAATGACAAAAACAAAAATTTATCTTTGTTTAATGTTATAACAAACAAAAAAAAAAGGACATTGAATTTGATACCTGTGTCGGAAACAGCATTCACATCTGCTCCATATTTAACTAAACACATGGTGACAGGAAGTTTTCCAGAAACAGCAGCACACCATAAGGGTGTAACATAATGCTCATTTTTAGCATCTG